CTAAAGATGAGGGAATTTCATCACAAAAATAATTGAGAGATAACAACAAGTCCAGATAAGCATCGTAAAGATCCATCTCAGAGTCCTGAAACAATGCAGTTTGACATTGTTTCCCAACAATGCAAAGGCAGAGAGAGAGAGAGAGAGCACTACCCCTCTATTTTCACATTTCTAACACTCAAGTTTGTTTAGACAAGCCAGTGAAGGTCCACTCTGAACAAAGATGTCTGAAAACTGTGACAGTTCCTCCATAATGCCAAGCTCATGGTACATTAAACTTTAAAAGGATGGTAAGTTCTTGCATTCACTTTATCAACACATTCACAGGCAGCAAAAGGAAAGCCACAAAAGCAATGTGCACACCCACAGCCAGACATGGGAGACTTGACACAATATGCAGCTAAAGATTAAAAAAGCAGTATTATTTATGATAATAATATTCTGCATGATGAACCACAACAGCATCTGCCATCCTAAGATACTAAAGTTTTGCAAACTTCACACTTTCTCATTAAAACCTCATTAAAGCCTCATACACTTTTTTTTTGGATACAACCATCATCACATTTTCCCTAGCTTGAAGATAGGTCACTGCATCATCTCCAATTAAGCTTGCTTGCTTGCTTGCTTGCTTGCTTGCTTGCTTGCTTGCTTGCTTGATTGATTGATTGATTTATTTATTTATTTATTTATTTATTGGAGTAAACACAAAATCAGCTACGGACAAAGTTAAATTGAGGAGCAAATTCTTTCAGGTAAGCAGCGTGTCTCTGCTGGCTACGTCACATTTTCTAGAAAGAAGCAGCAGGGTCAAACCATTAGTTCCATTCCATAATTAACCAAATAGCTGCAGTCTTTTAAATTTCTTGAAAATGGCTCACGTGATGTGAATTTAGCAAAGGCGTACTGAGTGTAAGTGCCACCAACAGAAGCATCTGTCCCAAGTACAGAGTGCTAGCGTACACCTCCAATTCCAAGTTTGACTAAAAAGCAGATCTCCACAGGGTTTAAATATAATGAAATCCCAGGATATCATTAGCCATGCTGGTACAGGATTTGGGCAGCTGAAGACCAAAACATCTGGAGATCTACCTTATGCCCACCGCTGCGCCCTTGGCATATCCACACCATAGCTTTTCCATCCACAGCTCAGCCTTGAAGATGTACCTTTTCCCGAGGATGTCTCTATTCAGAATGAGTTTACACCAAAGCAATTGCATAGACATAAGTAACATGTAGGAAGGTGGTGCCCCACTTTCATGTTTCAATCCACATGGAATCCTTTTTGCCTTCTGTGGGAGTGCCTGTTTTAAGTTGTGCTGATGAACATAACTATAGTTATGATGAACAGAAAGGTAACCAGCAAACACTGTGGTGTGTACCTGTGCTTTGAAATGTAAGCTTGATCATCATCATAGTTTAAATACTCAAATATTTGTTGAGCACCTTTCCCTAAGATGTCATTTTGTTTCATATTTAATGGCAACCTTCTCTGTGGGATGTCCTATTTTTCCAACATAGGGAAGTCTGCAATTGCATCCTAGCACCCTCTGCAAGATAAGAGATGATACTAGATCACAACTCTTCTTCTTGCATGCATGCTGCTTCGCTAGCATTTCACTGGTGATGATATACTTTCACATCAAATTGTACCTCAGAAACCTTTGCCGCATCACCAGAAAACCTGATAACCTCCCCTTAATTCTTTTCATGATTTTATCCCGCTCCCACCACTAAAAAGCTCAGAGTAACACAAATAGCTGTTCTACCCAATATTTATCCTTGTAATAACTCTGCAAGGTAAGTTCAGGTAACAGAATGTTTGGTCCAAGGCCACCCAATGAGCTTTCTGGCCAGGTAGCACTTTGAACTTGGACTGACCTAGTTCCATTCTGAAATTCTACTGTGTCAAGCCAGCTGCTGCACATCACACTGTGTTCAATCACTCAGTGCCTCAAGGACACTGTCTCCACGGGTCTCACAGCCATGCTTCTAGGAGCAATCATGATTCCCAGAGTAAGTGTTTCATGGATGTGCGCCATGAAAAAATGTACTGCTCTCCAAGCACTGGGAAATACAAGAGTACAGGCAGTCCCCAGGTTACAAACAAGTTCTGTTCCTGAGAAAATGGAAATCCATCTTTAAGTTGAATATGTGTGCAAGTCAGATCACATACGGTCAGTCCTCTGCATTCACAGGGTTAGGGATGCAGGACCTCCAGAAAAGAGGAGAAACAGAGAATATGGCTGCAACCCGCACCCCACCCCCATCACTAGCACCTCCTCTTTGCACCAAGGAAATGCCAGAGAGATTTCCCTCTCGAAATGGGCAGGGCAGGAAGGCATGCTTTGGAGGCTCTCCCGCTTCCCTTTTGCTTCCGCTCTCTATAGAGATGCTTTGGGGGCCCTCCCTCTCTCCCTTTCACTTCCTCTCTCTCTGTAGTGATGACAATTTTACACAGGTCTTTAATGCACATTTTTAGATTAATGGCCGTTTGTTCATAAGCAAGGGTTGTTCGTAACTTGTAACTCGTTCATTCATAACCCAGAGAATGCCTGATTTCAAGGAACCTGACAGGATGCCCTCCTTTCCCTAAAGCATTCTTAGTATTTACTCATATAGATCTAGTGCAAGATACTTACTATATGTGAAATTCATCACAGAAAAGACAGAGGAAATAAGGAGGCACCATGCAATTGGTTTAGTTTCACATGCCTAAGTTTAGTTGACATAAGAATTGCAGCAAGGCAATTCCAGAACCTGGTGTGTTGGTCTACAATTCCTATGATGTCCCATGATGTAGGTTTGAGGAAGGGGTTCTACTAAAGTTAAATGTTGAGGAAGGATTTGAAGTAAGACAGAGATGGCATTATTTGGTGGGTTTTCTCAGTTCATACAGAAGGGAAGAATGCCGAAGATCTTTCAGTCAATGGTGGAAGAGGTGATAGCAGTAGGAGAGCAAAGATTCCAGGATGTTTTTACCACTAGGGTTCCAATCTAATTTTGCTTTTGAAAAAAGCTGTGTGTTGGGAGTAAGAAGGATGGTGGTACTGAGCAATCATTCCTCTGGACTGCTGGCTGCATTCCAGATGGTTTGGAACAGGAAAGTGAAGTCTAAGTGAAGTGGGGACTACGAGCTAGGTCAAGATTATCTCAAGGCCAGGTGCTTCACCAAGTCGGGCAGTGTTTGTGAGCGGTCACGATGCACAGCCAGTGGGAAGGTCTCTGAAGAGGAGGAGTTCTCAGATGCAGACCAGGTCCCTGCTCCCTACTATTGCCCTTGTGCAAGGCACCAGCAGAGACAGGAGGCCCACCTGAATGAAGAATGCATGGAGAGGAGGCGTGCTCACTTGCAGAGAGCCTCTCTCAAGAGGATGGGGCCCAGGCATTTTCACAAGGGGAGTTCCAGGAGATAAACACTAGATGGGGTTCAACAAACCCTCTGGACCATGCTCAGAGATCCACTCTGGGAGATCTGTACTTGGGAGCAATAAAGTTGCCAGGAAAACGGCCTGCGGCTGGTGATTTGAAGGCGGAACCTCGGCTCATGACACCGTGAGAGATCAAATCACAGATTTCCTGAAATAGCATGCGGTTTGATCCCGAGTTTGCATCTCAGGACTACTAGCCATCTGTTGCAAGTGTAATCATGCCGTGTCAGATGAAATGAGTCAACACACTGCTCTGATAAAAGTGCACATCCTACCATTGTGTTCACACCAACTGTGTCCACAACGCTGTTACTGTTGAAATCCACCTTGGTTTCTCCATGCTATTTCCAATTTCCTTGTGGAAGTTTGCATGACTTTATAGTGCCAATGGATTCAAGCGCAAGAACACATCTGTACGAAAGCTGATTGCCTTTTACAACCTAGCAATGCCTAGAATCAAAATGTTCAATCTTTATGAGCCAGTTCCACATTTTAAGTTGATCCACTGTCTAGTTTCCCACATATTATAGCACATCAAGTTGCTTAGGGTGCAGTCCTATGGCTGACAGATGCTTGCTAGCTTGCCAACCATAGAAAAAATTGAAATCCCCACTGTGACCTCATATAATCCTTCCAACGTCACAACAGGAACTGTTCTCAGAGAGCCCCTCTTTGACCCTTGTAGCTAGCAGAGTTCTTTTTGTGCAAGCCATGAAAAACTGTCTTCAGAGCACATGCTGGAAGGGTCATTCCAAGGTATGGGGAGGGGCAGAGCGAGGCACTGGCATCCTATGAAGAATCCAATTATTATTATTATAACATTTCTATTTCTATGAAGAATCCAAGTGGTGCCTTAGCCCATCCTTTTTGCAAGCAGGGCCAAAAGTGGTGGCTGGCTGAGCTCGGCTATGTCCCGCCTTTGTGCTCCTCCTGGGCTCACTTGTATACTCCTTCTGTACATGGAAGGTTACAGGCTACCACAGTGGATGGTGGCCTTAGCTAAACTCACAGCTTCTCTCAGTGAAACACACAAGCCACCTTTTGTTATGGAAATCCTCTTGAACAACTTGTTTGAATCAGATGTACAAAGATAGCTTACACCAGACATTGACACTGAAACCCATTTACAGAAGCAGGATCCAATTAAAATTCGATTGCCACATTTTAAAACAAGCAATAAACTGATCGAGCTGATTAATTCTTGCAGCCACACATTTACTGTGTCTAATTTCTATTAGAAGTGCGAATTGCCATCCTCTCCAAAGAAGATGTAACATCCAGTAAATGCATAAAAGAGATCCAATTTAAAACCAATTGTCTTAGAGACTAAAATGTTTATGACTGCATAAGGTTTTGTGGACTCGAGTCCACTTTATAAGATGGATGGAGCATTATCCTAAGCTGACACACTGAAACCACTAGAAGTTTCAAGGAAAAACTCTTTAGGATTGCAATGCTACTTTAGAAATATTTTATCATTATTTTAGAAATGAATCAATACTGAAGTCATACTGCCTGAAAAAAGTAGGCATGAAAATACATTTTTACACATTTCAGGAATCTACTTACCAATAAAACAGGGCCAAGAGAATCACTAGGAAGGTCACTGTGGCTGCTGGAACCTTAATTTCCACAAAGCTAAATCCCAAGATATCCGTAAGTTTCATTTTCTTTTATTGGAGTAGCTGGCTGGTAGAGTGGGCAAAAAGGGAGGAAAGTGCTTCTGGTGAGGAGAGAAGAGACTTCCAACTGTTTTACAGATGGCAATCTGCAAGAAATGAGAAACCAAGGAAGTCAGGCTATGTCGAAATAACTCCTAACCCAAACACCAACTTTTCCTGTTTTGAGTGCCTTATGGAGGCAGAATTAAAGGTTTCCTGCATCAGTAGGACACCACAATGCTCTCCCCCTTCCATGAGTGCAGCATCAATAAATATTTACATAGTTCCTGCTTGATGTATGAGAGCGGGCCCATAGGTTTTGCAGCAAGAGTTGGATAAAAGATAAGAAGCAGCTATCCTCTTTTAGGCATTATAGATTAAAAAGCCCATAGGATGGTGAGCAAATAATTGATGACATACCTTTATCTCCATTTAATACAAAATATCCTAGACATTATGAAGTCTTTGGGACAAGTAAGTCTGATTAATATAAACGTTGCTAGAGAGACAGAACCAGAAATGTGCTACCTATAGATTAAACATCCGGCAGGCAGCTGAAGGTACTTTTCCATCTATACTGATACATTCATATGCCAATGTAAGGTTTGTTTCTGTAAGGAACAAGGGAGTTCCTTACAGAAACTTCAGAACAAGGGAGTTTTGGCATCTGATTAGGTGACAAGCGAACATATGAAGGCATATTGTACCAAGATGGACCCACCGTTCCATCTAACTCAGTACTCTCTACTTTGACTGGCAGCAGGGAGATAACCTCTTTCTGCCAAGAGCCTTTCTAATTCAATATACTGGATGATGAACCTGAGACTTTTGGCATGCAAAGCACAGCTACTGCCCCTGAGCAGTCTACCGGGATGACAGTAGTCTCTTCTTTTACAAAGTCTAACAATCAAAAACAAAATTCAAATCAAGAATTGCCGAGAACAATGCCGAGAACAAGTGGGAGTGGAAGGATAAGAAAAGAAGACCTGGCAAGCATAGTCTTAAACAAAGTAAGGAAAAACAATTCTGGACAATAATGCAACTGACATACTAGATTCAGGCATTCATACTTACCCTTACATTCAGGAAGTCCTAAGGTGGCATTTTCTCATTGCAAAAGAAATGGTCTTTTAAATCTTGTGGACTAAGGAAAAGGAATGAAGGGAACCCTGATTCACCAATCAGAGGAGAGGAAGGGCTGCTGGACATGATCCTGAGTTTGCACATTTCCTCAACATTTTGCAGAGAATCACAGGGCTGGAAGATACCTTTGAGGTCAACCTGTTTGGATTTGGGGGCGGCATTTGGGAATTTGAGATACAACTGTAGGCAGTACCACTAAATAGAGTGGTATTGGAGAATGTGGAGAGCCATATAACCACTGCTATGAGGGCTTGGCTAATTAAACGGAAGGTAAAGAGGTTTTCAGGGGAGATGCGGGGGCAGAAATAGCAAAGCTGAGAGGATGGGGGAAATAGCAAGGCAAAGGAATGGAAGAGAGCAAAAGTGCGAGGAAGTAGGGGAGAGAAAGACCAAAGGGAAAAGTTGGAGTGGCAGAAAAATATTGCTCAGGGTCCGGAAACAACTCTTTTATTCTCTGCTTGTCCACAAGCAGCTGAGCTACAGCAGGTATGAGAACTTGGCATCCTTGGCATGTTTTTCAATGTTTATTTATTATATTTTTATCCCACCTTTTTCTTTTTTAAAGAACTGAAAGCAGCTTACATCATTCTCCTCCTGCTCTCAGTCTTATCCCCACAACAACAACCCTATGAGGTAGATTGGGCTGAGAGTCTGTGACTGGTCCAAAGCCACCCAGTGGGCTCCACTGCTGAGCTGGGACTTGGAGCTCAGATCACCCGGGTCCCAGACCCATGCTCAGTCGCTACACGCTGCTCTTCTAATGCTAACCACTGGTAAGGTACAGCACCAAACAGAAAAACAATGCATATTTTACCTATGGGGCATTCTGTCCACATTAGTTATGCATATACACACCTAATTTCATGTACATCACATGCTACTGTCCAATGAACAGTATTGCGAATGTTCTCTGGCTTCTTTTACTTTGGTTATACGGTATTTATTGTTAGATTGTTTTTAATGTATTTGATTTTATTGATTTTGAGCCATCCTGAGATGCCATGCATAAGGGATGGCATATAAAAATTTTAAATAAAGAGAAATTATTTCACCCCCAAAACAGCCATTACATTTTTACAAAAGTTTTAAAAAATTGACAAGTTCATGAGATTATTCAATGGCTTCAACAAACAAAGTCAAATACAGTAAGCTGACAAAGCAGGAAAAGAAGAACACATGACTTCCATTTCCAAACCCCACACCACCCCAGCTGCCTCCCTCTGAATGCACTCCACTCTGAAAATGTCCTTCTTAAAATGTGGTGCCCAGAGCTTCAGACAGTACTCCAGATGCAGCATGACCAGTGTAGAAAAGATGCCTTCTAAATAACAGAGAAGGTGAGAACTGAAGGATGACCCCAAGTTCCTCCTGGCAGACACACCAGTTAAGAGAGGGATTTCTTGTCTGCATTCCTGAAGGATGCTTATTTAGGCAAGAGGAGAAAATGGAATAGGCTGGACATCCAATGAAAAACAAATGGGATTTCTTAAAGAGACCTGCTCATAGACGAACATGGTTTTATCCAGAAGCCAATGCCACAGAGCTTCATTTCTTCACCTCCTCGAACATGACAATGCACATGCCTGCAGACTTGAATAATTATTGGCCTGGGAAAACAATGTCTCCACCAAGCTCCACGTATCCTTAGTGGAATGACAATAAGCCACTACACACTTGTCTTGGGAGAACAAGGTACACTGTTCCATGCAAGTCCTCCTCCTACCAGTTGTCCTAGTCAGCCAGCAGGCCATAAAAGCACTAGACATTCAAATGGTGGAAGCATTTTAAAGAGTTATGCATATTTTCCATATTTCTTAAGAATTTTAAATAGAGGAATTATATTTTCTCTAGCAGGTCTGAGAAATAGGCATTCTAGCCTTTGTATTGCCATAACTATAAAAGGAATGGAAGAATATACAGTGTGTCCTAAGGTAACAGCTTTTATTTAACACTCATGGTTTCTCCAATATTTCTCTATTGTATTTTCTACTTGTATCATAAAGGAAATATAAGATACATAACACAAAAGAGTTTAATTCTAAGAAGTATGGACTCTGCTATAATCAAATCATGTTTTAGTCCCTGTGGTCTGCTACTACATTAACTTCTTTACTAACACCCATTGCAGACTAGGTAAAAGGGTTAACCAGTTTACCAGCTTGGTATGGTGTTTCTTACGTACAGAGAGACATGCACATTGCACACTACTGTGGAATTAATACTGCCAATGCTTCCAGATGCTTGTCTGGATCAATAAATGCAGTGCTACTTACTGCTGTCCTGAAAGCAAACACACTGAATTTCAAGACAGGAAAATCGTATCTGACAAGCCCATCCCCGTCAGGAACCAGGAGGGTTTTCCTGAAGTCAGCTTCGATCTTTGCAGCTTCTATATTATGCCCCTGGCTTGAAATTGGCCAGCACTCTTTGATCCTGTAGGATCCTCAGGAGCCATATAAAACAGCAGTAACATGGCAGAAGAGAAATCAGAAATTGCTTTCTATGGTGCCATTTAGCCTAGTATGGCTGGCACTGACTGGCAGCAGCCAGCAGCTGTCTGGTAAACATCTTACCCAGCTCTGTTGCCTGGAATTATAAATAAAGCTGCCAAAGTTGAAATGCCTTGATATTTATGGTGCAAACTTATGGTGCAAACACGCTTGGAAGCTTGCGCACAATTCTACTTTCCACAATATCCAAAAGGGCCTTGAAAATGTGATCAACTCACTTTGGTGGAAAGATTACAGCCCCAGGCCAAGTGTCTTGCTGTCCAGGATGAAAATATGCACTGCTACTTGTGCCCCTTCTCAGCATCACACCCTTCCCAGTTGAGGGGTTCTCATGAGCGCTCAGTCGGCTGGGTCTCACAAGGGCACGACCAGTCAGGTGGGCAGCATGGGGACTCATCCAGGTTGTACAACACTGTCAATCCACTGCACATGACCCCACAGTTACAAAGGGAGGTGTGACATGAAGGAAACAGGGAGGATGCATGGTCTGGAGAACCCCGAGAGCTCCTCTCTTGCCACAGCAAACTCGCCACACCTCCCCATGGAACTATGGAGAAGCATCCTATTTCACCATTCCTCCTGCTACACTGTCTGCTGCCCACTTGCCTCATGACAGACATGGCCCTGGAAGGTTACAATGTTAGCAGCTTTTTTGGTTAGAAAAAGATGGAAGGATATTGTACAGGTATATAAAATCCCGCAGGGAATGGTGAACTTTCCCATTCCCAAGAACCCAAGGTGGGCAAGTATCTCCCCCGCCAAACTCTCGGCTTTTCTTTTCCCAGTGGGTAACAAGGAGAGGCTTTTAAGTGAAATCTTTATTGTGTTAAAGCTCGCCAGGGAGGACTAGCTTTGTGATAACAATGAAAGTAATTCAAAAGTTGTTAGCAAAAGGCACCCAATAAGTTAAAACCCTCTAATTGTGGAGTTATTCCCTTCCATACTGGGAGCTGATTCCAAACTGAATTCCTCTCCTCTCTTCTCCAAAAGGACGTGGCTTCGCCCTCAGGGAGGTTCACCCTGTTTGTGAGACAGACAGTGGGAATGCTGAGCATTACTTCATTGGTCCTCTTGTCTGACTTAAAGTCAGACCGAAGGGCTGAGAAAGTCACACCCCTCCTCCTCTCATCACTACTGGCATTTCAGCTACGCATTCCAACCCTACCTATTCTTCAAGTTCACATTCAGAGAATGAAATATCTACCTTGGAATGCTGTATTTTGGGGGAAGGGAAGAGGGTCCAATCCCTACCATCAGAGAATGTTAGCAGCTGCAGTCCAACACAGACAAGGAGCACCAAGTTGAAGAAGACAACAATGTATACAAAGTGGGTCTCTAGAATCAGTAGTATTGTTACCCATATACAGATTTACAAGCAATACATTACATTTGCTAGTTTTCTAGATACCCTTATATAGTCAAAGGAAATAAAGCTCTAGTGGTGCCACAACCCT